AATTCTTCTAAAACATTTACGGGCTTGACAAATTTGAAATATTTGTAAGTTAGATAGAAGTGAACTTAAATATAGAACCAATTCGTTTGTCAAACCATTATGGAAGTATCTGAATCGAATAAGAATCACTAGCTTACTTTTTACTAGCAATTTTAATTCTAATTAAAGGTTTTCTTTCTGCTTCGGATATTTACAAAGATTATTAAATTTTATAATTGGAGCGTAAAATAAAATATTCTTCTATTACATATTATCTTTAAAATAAGAGATTTGTATCAGAAGCACCGCATTCATAGCTGATACTACTACTACTTAGATCATTATGGGATCTAGAATTGGCTTATTCGGTACCACTTATAAATGTTTACATCGTAATTTAGAATTAATTTAATTTCCATAGATATTTGCGAAGTAATAAAATACAAATCATCGAAGGCGACATATTCGCAAGCTTGAATAATTTACAAAAGTTGTAAGTTTTGGTGATATTAAATAAAGATATGGTGAGAATGAATATTTATTGTAAGGAAATGCAGCGAGTTTATACCGTTATGCCCTATATACAACTAGTAATAGAAGATGATATGGTATTTATATATGCTAATAGAATTATGAGTTAAAATAAAATGTAGATTATATAAATTTCATTTGATTAATTATAAAATGGAGTCTGTATTGTATTTCATTATATTACTTAATGCAAATAGTACCTTCCTTGACTAATTTACGCTGATTAGACATGTAGTTGTTTAGAAAAGTTATATATAGTTAGCGTTATTGATTAATGACATCAACTATCGTATGGACTATAATTAGTTGTTTTATTAAGATAAATGTATCTACTAGTTCGATGCCACAGGCGGGATTAGTTGACATAGACACGAAGGAATACTAAATTAGAATAATGTAAAAGTATACAAGCACACGGTATATTCGTATTTATCGATTTTATGAAGCCTAAATTAAGACTTGTGTCAACCGTAATTGCATTACAAGAAATCTTACTATGCAAACTTTCTCTACCTGTATTTTATAACTACTGTATAACACTAACAGTAACCGTTATATAGGGCGTTTCTACTCAAATAACTTCATTAAATTTAGTAGTCAATTCCGTAATCGTCTATCATAGCAAAGTCTACAGTACACAAACGCAGTAATGGGAGATACGTAAAAAAGATAATCAATATATTTTTCTCTCTCTCTTTTTGGCTATTTACCATATGTTGGTATGCTTTCAAAAATTTACAAATAGACTACAGTAACATTTAATTATCACAAGAACTTAACGTAAAATATCCATTATCGCTAAATTTTAATGCTAAATATCAATTATTGCAATATCTTAGTACAAGATATCCTTTAATTATTACTATAACTTTTGTCACAATGTGAAAATTGGACTCGAATTAGATTAGTATCTGGAGATCTAAGTTCGTAAAATTTTAACTTTATTTCTAAAAGTGATCCTCATTATATACATCACTGACTACACATAAACAAATCATTATCGATAATATCAGTCTTAACTTAGAAATAAAGAGGTTGATAAACACAAAAACATATGCTCTTAGATAAATCTAATTCAGCATCACCTCTCATCTAAACCAACTATTCACACCATTGATATTACACTTTTCGTTACAAAAAACTAGTGAACACTTTATACTAAATTTAGGGTTTTAATCAAACAAACTGGCTATATACTTGTATGTAAGCTTTCTAAACATCTACATGTCTAACTATAATAATCTAACCTAAGAAAGCCCTGTTTACGATACGTAATTTTACAAAATACGAATAATTTAATGCAAAATATTAATTGGCATATGTCACAAACCAACTTCGTGACAAAGATAACTTAAAAAAAAATCTCTAAATTACTATAGTCTCTGGGATTCAGCATCCCTTAACTACCTCACAAGAATTTAGACGCCTTTGCTTCTACGTTAAAACAACTATATAACTCTTCTTTTATTCAACTATCTGCCGAGCTTAAACACCCTTCGGCAGCAGCTATCATGTATGAGTCACAACAGTTCATGAAATTTAGCTCATATTGGATAGCCAAATTAATACAGACATTATTCATAATTTAGACATGTACTGAATGATTCTAGATAATTAGACTACAGTATGTCCACACGCAGAATTATTTATAGTATCATCTATAATTGAATATCTTCAGGATATTCATCACAAGCGTTACAAGACATAACACTGTAATCAATTAATATTAGTTACCTTATGAGAACTCTTACTATAGTACAGCATAATTTACTATAATAAAATAATAATTACTGTAGTTCTTACTGTAACTCATTATTAGTTATCGACATATATAAATATGAAACACCGCATTTAGTCATTTACTCTTCACTGTGGTTCATACAGTGACAGCATAATATTTTAATGTAAGACATCCATTATCACCGTACTTTAACATAATCCAATTCTATTTTCTCGCCTTTAGTATTATGATATTATGACAGCGGAATATGCATTAGATTATGAGAAACTCTTTGAGAAATAAAGCCAGCTAGAAGAATTAGCACTGCAGAGATTTTTTAAGTTTCCTAATTTGAAATAATTATTTATGACAACTCTGCATCAATTTAAGAAATTATAACTTTACTAATTTATATGAAAGCCCATATCCTCTACTGCTTGATTATTTCGATAATCTATTTAGATTATTTATTATTCACAATTGGTGCAGGTATTTGAATGAAAATATGTTGAAGTCTTTAAGTTCTCCCAGAATCTTTTATGGGCTAAAAAGCTTGAAGAATTTGTAAGTAAGATATTCATCAAATGAACAAGATCGTGAAGACTCAATTAATCTCATCTGAATAAATTTAACACAAAACATGGCTATAACTGAATGGCTATTCTAAATATTCGCTAATTATTTCATTTGCTTTAACATATTATTTATTTCGAGATATAATATCAAAGGGCGAATACTTTATCGATAATAATCAGTAGTAATTAAAATGGAGAATTTAAGAAATTGATAACTTTAATAGTGCTGCTAACTCCAATCCCTTTACAATCTAAAATCTTAATAGATTTTAGATTAGAATACCGCAGATTGAAGGTATTATCTTCATTCAATCAGATATTTGCATAAAAATTACATCGAAAAAATTGAAAATGGAACATTTGCAAGCTTGCAAAGCCTATCGAAACTGTAAGTCTTTATAAAGGGCACATTGACTACTGATATTTTATCAGCTCAATTTACGGATATGACATCAGATATGTTGTAACAGGCATCGATTTATAGATACTGGCATAATGAGTTGAGTATATAATTTCAACTCTGTAATTGTCATTACCAACTAATCAAAATTAGTGCATACCACAATGTCACTAGGCAATTTACTATACTGGAGTATATCTTCTATGGTAAACTTCCTAATCGATTGATATTCGTAGTCAATACATTAAGTCTTCAGCTTGAAACAAAATCACAAATCTAATCTATTAACCATATCAGCAAGCATTTAAATAGATATTTTAAGCGTATAGCAGGTTTGACTACTCATAATCTCGTAGGGCTGCAATATAACAATTTTTAGGTGATATTTAACTCAAGTATTCCCTTCAGGACTTCTGTGGACTCTAGTATAGTCCTGTTAAATAAACAATTAATATGTGAAATATCCTAGATTACCCGTACTTTCTATCTAATACATTTAGCATTAGACTTTTAATCTAGAACATTTAAAATTTATGTCTAAGTTTACCAATCAGGTTCATAATACTTCAGAAAATAAGAATAATATCTGCTTTTAAATTATTCGATTTGACTTATTTCTAAGGCTGTACTTAAAATGCATTTTCAAATCTTATGAAAGTAATGGCTTGCAAAGTTCTAGACTTCAATATCAGATTTGTAATAAACAGTTCACGCAGTAGATAGAATAAAATCTTGCTAATCAGTAATTTGATGCTCATTCTTGAAGATGTATATAGATTATGTCAAATGTAATCGTCGTAGGTAATCGAATAAATTAAAGTAAAGTGTATTGAAATTGTACTGTACATAAAATATGGTATTGTATAAACACTACAAAGGTCTACCTTTATTTATTTAGGTATCTATACGAAAATAAAATAGAAAAGATTGCAGATGGAACTTTTACGCAACTGTCTAAACTGTATCAAATGTAAATATTGAATTCTAGAAATCGCGGATATAAATTTAGACCGTATCTATTTCATCATCTTAACTTTAGAATCTCTATTGACTTTTACATTGTCTTGTGTCAACAACTATTATAGATCGTTACACAAAAATTCGTTAACCTCATTAAGTCCTGGAATGTTTCAAGGGTTACAAAATTTGCGTTACTTGTAAGCTACTATATATAGATAGATAGATACTAGCTAATTGATAGTTCTTGGGCAAGTCATTTTACATATAACTGTTAATCTTAATGTTATCAATAACAATAATATTTTAGTTATTAGTTCTATATAAGATTTAATCCACTCATCTATGAGAAAACGTGTTTAGGCTTAATTATTATTAATTTAATAACCAACTACCTACGTCTAAACTACTTGTTAAAATAACGCTACGGATCTAAGTTATCCTTTATCAGCGTTCAATCACTTTTCATAATAATACGCACAGTATATAGTTTTAATGTGATGCTTATCCTTCAATATGCAATATGGATTTAATTTAATTAATCGTTTAACTCATCGAACAAATTAAAGTAAAGTGTATTGAAATTGTACTGTACATAAAATATGATATTGTATAAACACTACAAAGGTCTACCTTTATTTATTTAGGTATCTATACGAAAATAAAATAGAAAAGATTGCAGATGGAACTTTTACGCAACTGTCTAAACTGTATCAAATGTAAATATTGAATTCTAGAAATCGCGGATATAAATTTAGACCGTATCTATTTCATCATCTTAACTTTAGAATCTCTATTGATTTTTACATTGTCTTGTGTCAACGACTATTACAGATCGTTACACAAAAATTCGTTAACCTCATTAAGTCCTGGAATGTTTCAAGGGTTACAAAATTTGCGTTACTTGTAAGCTACTATATAGATAAATAGATACTAGCTAATTGAGAGTTCTTGGGCAAGTCATTTTACATATAACTGTTAATCTTAATATCGTCAATAATTAATAGAAATGTTTATGAGAAAACGTGTTTTTAAGTTTAATGGTTTCTATTTTAATAACTAAGTACCTACATCTAAATTACTCATTACAATTGCATTACTTGTAAGCTTCACGTGCGTATAAGAATAGAATTAGATAAGAAATGATCTTCAAATCTATTAATTACTGAACATAACCAAAAATGAATTAGAAAATATTTGTGCTGTAATTACTGCCACCTGTGATATTTATATGGTCTTTTGAAAACTACCAAATTAGTTAATAAGTCTAAGCTGCTGAATTTTAATTTCATGAATTTTAAAATATTAAAACTTTGATAAATAAATGTATCTCACTTTACAGATATAAACAGCTCGAGTGGATTGAATCTGTAGATAACTATTTTTGGGTGACTTATGAATTTTTATCTTTCATTCAGATACTTAGGCCAAAATAAGATAGAAAAGATAGCAGACAGAACTTTCGCTAAACTCTACCATTTATACCACCTGTAAGTTATCATGTTATTTGATATTCAGTCTCAGTTATAAATTTGATGACTTTAAAGTAAATTGAAATCCCTTTGTGAATATATCTAGCGACTTGAAGTGCAAATTTCAGAACGGATATTCGCTTTTTGATTTATGTTATCTAAATGATTAAATATAATATTTCTATTCATATACTCGTGTAATATAGAAATTTAGAACAAAACTTGTTAACTGACTTAAATTCTCAGCAAATGTTCGATGGATTGTCATTTTTAAAGTATCTGTAAGTTAAATGCCTTAGGACTAGAAAATTTACCAATTAGAATCTAATCAAGCAGTCGATGTTAACCTAGTTTATAAAATTTCATAATTTGTTTTTATTTTGACTTCTAAATAATATCAGCAACAATGCTGCTTTGATTTATATATTCTTTGCAATAAAATAATTGTGATAGGTTAGCGCGAGATAACAGAAGTAAAATTAACTCTATTCTTTCAGTTTGGTTTATTTGTCCAGGAACACTTTCATATCTACAGTTTAAAATATTGCTATTGCATTAAGGAGAAATATTAATGAAATTTAAGCACTTAATAAATGGCGATGCGATATATATTTACTAATCAAACGTTAATCTTATAATTTTAGTTACATGAGCGAAAATAAAATAAAAAGCATTAAAGACGGACTTTTTTCAAGCTTTAAAGGGCTCAACTTACTGTACGTATAAAATAAAACGGCTTTAAATCATTTTAGTGATACAAAATTGCCAATATTTTAACTTGGAACTTATTCTCCATTTTCCTCTGATGATGTACGATACAGATGCTTGAAAGGAAATTTGATACAAACTTTCACGTCTCCAGGCGTATTTCAAGGATTGACGAACTTGACAGATTTGTAAGTTATATTTAGATGTATGTCATCGACACAAAGCAGCTTGGCGACAAGATTTACGTAAAAACAATTTTAATTTCTATAGTTTTCGGGAAGCAGTATCCTTTAATTAATCACAAGAACTGAGACACCTTTACTTATGCGTTACAAAACTATAGAATTAATTTTATTCAATGACCTGTCGAAAGTTTAAATACCTTTTGGTAGTAGCTAACTTTGATGAATCGTCTCACAACAGTATTTATCGATAAGTACATTTACTGTCTGATTTTACCTAATCAGACAACAGTATATCCACTCTCGGAGTCTTTCAATACACCTATAATCTACCCTTAGTTAGAATTTCGATTAGAACAGCTTGTAATTTCTTCCAGTACTACATAAGAATTACATAATAATACAATATATAATTTATTGTAACGCATTATAACTTCAGTAACTTTTACTGTGAGCAACTAAATGTAATCATAATATATGAATGTTATTAATTCAGTAAATTTAGCCATTTAATTCTTCACGATAGTTTGTACAGCTACTGCCAATAAGTGTATATATTTGTTATATTAGTCGTACTCTATTTACATCTAAATGTTGATTTTTTTAAATGCAAAATGCATACTTACAAATATAAAAGTGATATTATTTGAAGAGAAGTGTTGTATGTTAAGGTGTAATATTCAGTGATTGTTAATGCTTGATAACAGTTTCCGCTCAAATAAATGATAGCATTCAGCTAAACTTTCAATGTTTTTTTCGTAAGAAAAATGTGCTGACTTTCAAGAAATATAGAAAATCGTTATACCCACTATGACATATTTTATTTCTAATCATATTCTGATCTGGTTAAAATCTAAAAAAGTTACAATTGAAATTTGTGTAGCAATATGACAGTGTTAAATACTGTATTAGAGTAGCAATATCTATGTTATGATAATTTTGTTAGCCTATCCTTATTTAGTTAACTTCTAATTTGGATATACTGTGTTTTAATATAGCACTGACTTTTTATGACAGAGACACATATACACATACTGAAATTAATAGTTATAATAGGGAATGCAAATCGTCTACTTACAGTTCGAATCATTGTGATTGTAACTTACTTATGGTAGATTGTAAATTATCATGAAAATGTTTCGTGATAGGACATATCGTAATCTGACTATTTTGTATTAGTCATTACGTGTCTATGCTCGTAAATACTGTTGTCTGCATTAACGGAGCAGAAGCTAAAATTATAATCTAATTCAGTAAATGATTCCAATGTTAATTGTATTAACTATGACTCCCGAACTATTGAGGAATAGTATATAAATGCAGTATATCGTGTGATAAAGAGGATTCTTAAACTTAGTATTTAACGTAAAATACGAGGCGTTTAAGTCTTTATGTAGTCTGCTAGTATAACAAAAGTGTTTCTGATAGTGCAGATATCGTTCCTTGATACGTGGTTCAAGGAAATGACTTATTGATCGTACACTGCATTATCTTGTTGCAAAGCTGTTTTGTGACAAGGAATAAACGTCTTATTGATATTTTCGTTATTTTAATGGATCAACTCATTATCTTCTTTTGTCGATTGATGGCGAATATTTTTAGAGAAGTCATACGTAACTATTATCGACGCTGCAATGTAGAAGATAGTTAGAGCAAACTATATTCTTCTGATTATCTTATAGGAGACTGGACGGAAATAGAATATCGCTTATTGCTGATGGAGTACTGGCACCACTTGGCAATTTAGAGTTTCTGTAAGTTGCTGTAAATCTTGATAAGTTTCTCATGTGGCTATTTTACTGCAATTAATTATAATAGCTGCTCCTGAGAGTAATATTCCTTTAATAATAATATAATAAATTGAAGGTTGACTAAAGATCGATTTACTAACAAACTTTTACATGATTTAGCGCAATTTAAAAATCATATTCCTAATCTTTGTGATCTTATTTGTGACTGATAACGGTAGCAAATTCGGATTTCTGTTTGTGTAAACTAATCTTAATTGATTAATTTACTTCGTAATAGCTGAGTAATTTTATTAAGTCCAATAAACCACGAGTATCTATCTTTAATCGCAAAATTTTCCATCAATAATTACATTATTAAAGTATTGTTTTCGCACCATTACGCAAGAGAAGTAAAATTTAAAGTTTATAGTAAAGCAATACTAAATATCGTACTTTACTTTAGCAAGCACTTTTAGAAATGTCTTTCTAAAGCAGAGAGTAAATTAAGGTCTATGTCTTTATACATACCTAATTTTGCATAATTGCTCTAACTTACTTAAACACTTAGAAATAAATGATAAAATAAGCTAATTCATGATAGCTACTTAGAATAGCTTAATATTTCTATTCGATATGGTAAAGTCCATACTTTTAACACTAAATATGATATTTATTGCTCCAAAATTATAAGTACTTTATAAGATAGCCAGTTTTATCTACATCAATATGGTATAGATTGCTATCATGTATGAGAAGTAATAAATGATTGTACTTTTATTCAAGTAACTGAGCAAGATTACGATTCTGATTAAATTAAAGATTACGTTATGAGTAACAGTACAAAAGTGTTCACTAATAAAACTGATTTCATAGGAACAATGCAGTCAAAGACATATTCTTAAGTTACGGATAATAAATTAACCAAAGTTATTTGTAAGATAGTTGTTATACAAATAAAGGCAATTTGAGTTATAAAAAGTTATAATCAAATTTCTGTTTTGCGGTTCTTAGTTGTGGAAGTGAACGTGACCGTATGCGAAGTCGGTCATTTTGCAAACTGCCCTTGTAATTCAGATAATTTGTGACACATACACACTAATAACATACCTTGTAATTCAGAAGTTATTATAACTTATATATGAGGCCATTAAATACACATCATGAGATTCATGTTAGGAATAAATCATCCGTTCTACCTAATATTATTTCATTGATCTATTTGCTATCTGGTAATATTTCTATAAAATTTTACGCCATCTTCACGTGTAAATCAGGAAATATACAATGAAAACGCTTATATTAGATGCAAAATTATCATAACTAATACTGATAGCAAAGGTACATTTCTAAACTTTGTTAGATTACCGCAATAGATAATTATGAACAGCGATTCTATAAGAAAGTGAAGATGGCTCTACGAAAAATTTTATAGCCTTAAATATCAGAACTTAATTGTATAGCTGCTGATTAGTGTTTATTACTTTATAATATGAGTTGAACTGAACATTTTCTTGTAACGGAACTGATCAAATTTTAGCAATTTAGCAAACAATGGAATACAAGACTTGCGTTCTATGAGCTTTAGAGGTTTAACTAATTTGACTAATCTGTAAGTAATTAATGAAAATAACCTAGAGTACCTAAGACTTCTTATTTGTCATATTTCAATTAACTATAGCATACTGGCATCGATTATTGCTAATCAATTAAACTTATTAGAAATATTATACGGAACAAGATTACTGAAGTACCTCCCGAAATATTTAGAGATATGCCGAGACTAACAAAGCTGTTAGGATTCTATTGCTCACTGA